CTAATGTCTGAATGTCCTCTACAACATTTCCAAGTGTTTGTAATGGGAAGCTTACTTCTTCCCAAGGCTACTGGTTATTGTTGTTGTCATCATTGTCATCATTATCATCATCATTTTTTATTATATTGAGCTAAAATGTGTTAACCTGCAGCTTTTACGCATTGATTTTCTTTCTGTCCTCTGCTCTTTGATCATATAAACCAATCACACTTGCACATAAGAATATAAATTACTACAATTACTTAAAGACAGCTGTTCCAAAGCTGGAGAATTCATTGGTTCTCACTCATTCTTCTGTATACATATTGTCTCACCCCAACATCTGAAAGTACTAGGTGATCTTCCCTTATCCACAATGAAGTACCAAGTGGACAAACAAATGGGAGTTAGGACCTCTACTTCTTGATTAGCAGTGAGTGTTCAGCCAGAGGTAGAAGAAGATATACCAAACAGCAATTTATCAGTTACTCTTCATTAAGATTGGTCTCCAAGCAACTCTGCTCTCTCTCACTGCATTTTAAAGAGATGTTATTAGCCCAATTCATGGCCTAGTACAACTGATGCAGTCATATAACAGGCATGTGCAAAATCATGAAGTCCCAGGTTTAACGTCAAGGTTCCTTTTTTACACTTCCATTTGTATTGTCAAAGTAGAGTGTGTGCCCCTTTCAAGCATTCTTAACCAGCATTCTTTAACTGAAAAAAAAAATCCAACAACAAGTTTTTGGTATCAGTCTCCAGGCAGGTGTATTAGAAAAAAGAAAAAACATTATCTGGTCAGATTTTTAGCACAGACAAGATATAATGATTTTTTCATGTGTCTATTGGCCATTTGTATATCTTGCTTTGAGATATTTGGGGGTTTTTTACTATTAAGTTGTTTGAGTTCCTTGCATATCCTGGATATTAATCCTTTGTCGGTGCATAGTTTCCAAATATCTTCTCCCACTCTGTAGGTTGTCTTTTCACTCTGTTAATTGTTTCTTTTGCTGTACAGAAGCTTTTTAGTTTGATATTTCTTTTGTTTATATTTCCCTTTGTTGCTTGTGCTTTGGGAGTCATATTCATAAAGTCTTTGCCCAGTCCTACTTCCTGAAGTGTTTCCCCTATGTTTTCTTTTAGGAGTCTTATAGTTTCAGGACTTATATTAAGTCTTTAATTCATTCTGAGTTGATTTTGGTATATGGCAAGAGGTACAGGTCTAGTTTCATTCTCTTACATATGGATGTCCAGTTTTTGCAGCACCATTTATTAAAGAGGCTGTCTTTTCCCCAATGTATGTTCTTAGTGCCTTTGTCAAAGATCAGTTTGTAGGTATGTGGTCAGCATGTGGGTTGATTTCTGGGTTCAAAGATCAGTTTGTAAGCATGCAGGTTGATATCTGGGGTTCTCTATTCTGTTCCATTGGTCCAACTCTCTGTTTTTATGCCAGTATCATGCTGTTTTGTTACCATAGCTTTGTAGTATAATTTGAAGTCAGGTAGTGTTATGACTCCCAGCTTTATTTATTTTGCTCAGGATTGCTTTGGCTATTCAGTATCTTTTGTTTTTCCATATGAAAGGTGAGATTGTTTTTTTCCATTTCTGTGAAGAAAGTCATTGGTATTTTGATGGGTATTGCATTGAATCTGTGAGATTCTTTGGATTGTATGGACATTTTCACAATGGTAATCCTTCCAATCCAAGAGCATGGAATTTCTTTCCATCTTTTTCTGTCCCCTTTATTTTTTTTCAACAGTGATTTGTAGTTATTGTTGTATAATTCTTTCATTTCACCTCCTTGGTTAAATTTATCCCTAGGTGTGTGTGTGTGTGTGTGACTATTGTAAATGGGCTAGCTTTCTTGATTCCTTTTAATGCTAGTTTGTTGTTGGAGTATTAAAATGCTACTGATTTTTGCATGTGATTTTGTATCCTGCAACTTAACTGAAATCATTTATAAACTCTAAGAGTTATGTTGTAGAGTTTTTAGGCTTTTCTATGTATAAGAACATGTTATCTGCAAACACGGGCAACTTGACTTCATCTTTCCCAATCTGGAAGCCCTTTATTTCTTTCTCTTGCCTGATTGTTCTGGCTAGTACTTCCAATACTGTGTTACATAGGAGTGGTGAGAGTGGGCATCCTTGTCTTCTTCCTGCTCCTAGAGAAAAAAGTTCTCAGCTTTTGCCCATTCAGGATGATATTGGCTGTGGGTTTGTCATGTACAGCTTTTATTGTGCTGAGATACTATTCTATACCTAATTTGCTGAGAGTCTTTATTAATTAGTCTGCATCTATTGAGATAATCATATGGTTTTTGTCCTTGATTTTGTTGATGTGATGTATCACATTTATTGACTTGCATATGTTGAACCATCCTTGCATACCTGGAATGAATCCCACTTGATCATGGTGCATATTTTTTTTGATGTGTTGCTGTATTCTATTTGCTAATATTTTATTGAGGATTTTTACATCTATATTCATCAAAGATATTGGCGTATAGTTTTCTTTTTTTGTTGTATCTTTGTGTGGTTTTAGCATCAGGGTGATGCTGGCCTCATAGAATGATTTTGGGAGAATGGCCTCAACATCACTCAGCATAGAAATGCAAATCAAAACACATTAAGATATCATCTCACCCCAGTTAGACTGGGTATTATCAAAAATACAGAGAATAACAAGTGCTTTTGAGGATGTGGAGAAAGGGGAACCCTCATACACTGTTGGTGAGACTGTAAATTGGTGTAGTCATTGTGGAAAATGGTATGGAAGTTCTTCAAACAACCACAGATAGAACTGCCATACAATCCAGCAATCCCACTTCTGGGCATATACCCAAAGGAATGCAAATCATCATGTAGAAGGTATACCTACACCCCTATGTTTATCGCAGCTCTACGATAGCCAAGAGTTGGAACCAACCTAAATGTCCATGAGTGGACAACTGGATATGGAAAATGTGGATACATACACCATGGAATACTACTCTGCCATAAATTAAAGAATGAAATTCTGGGCCGGCCCGGTGGCGCACTGGATAGTGCGCCGCTTGGGAAGCGCGGTGGCGCTCCTGTCCGAGGGTTTGGATCCCACATACAGACCGGCTCCCGCTCACTGGCTGAGCGAGGCGCGGGAGCAACACCGAGGCTTGCGATCCCGTTGCCGGTCCCCGGTCCGGTACGGGGGCAACACTGAGGGTTGCGATCCGTTGCCGGACACGGAAAAAAGACAAAAGACAAAAAAAAAAAAAAAAAAGAATGAAATTCTGCTATTCACAGCAACATGGATTAACTTAGGGGAAGTCATGTTAAGTAAAAGAAGACAGGCACAGAAAGAGAAATACCGCATGTCATCACTCATAAGTGGGAGCTAAAAAAATAAATAAGCAAATGGATTTTAAAAAGAGAGATACAACAATCGCAATGATACATTGAACTTTAAAAAGGAGAGAACAGAACTGAGGTTACCAGAACTGGGAAAGGAAGGAGGGGAATAAGGGAGAAACTGGTAAAGGGCCATGAAAAATGATTACATTATATAATGCTGAATATACTAATTGTCCTGTTTTGACCATCACATATTGCACACAGGTATTGATGCTAAACTCTCTACCCCACAGATATGTACAATCAACTATGCTACAATAAAATGTGTGTATACACACACACACACACACACACACACACATAAATATAAAATAGTTTTAACAAAGTCCATTCAAGTGATCATTAAAAGGAGAATGCTTTAAGACACAACAGAAATAGACAGAAAGAGAAAGTATGACTGATAAGGGCCTGAGGAAATAACTGCTAAAACATACTCTCATTCTCTGTTTGTGTTTTCCCATTTATCTGACACTTATCTGTTGATCATTATGTATGAAAATCATCTTAATTTAATAGGTTCTCAAGACTGAGAACCATGATTTATAATCTCTGTTTACCTTAGCACCTAGTACAAGTGCACACAGATGGTGATGGTAAGTAAAAATAGGTAGGCCTCACTTTGTACTAATGACATTCTAAAGAAAAGATATATATATATATATATATATGACAGTAAACCAGCAAGGAATTTTGGGGGAGGCAGGCACAGTACATGGAAAAAGCCCTGGAGGATAGAATCTAGTCTCAATTCTACCACTAACTTCTTATATGACCTTAGGCGAATCATCTGATACTACTCCAGCCCATTTTTCCCATCTTTAAAATGAGATAGCTGAACCAGATAATCCCTAAAATTCCTTCCAGCTCCATTACTCTGTATAATCTTAGTTCAAAGATAATAATTAATATTCATTGAGTACCTGTCTTGTGCTAGATGCATTTAACTCATTTAATTCTCACAAGTAACCTTGTGAGGTAGGTACTGTTAAGGAAGTTAAAAAACTTGCCCAGGGTCACAAATTAGTGAAACTGGGCTTCTAACCCAGTCTGACTTCAGAGCTGGCATGCAATAGTCACACCATATTACCTTCAAATGTACAAGAGAAGCTTGGTATTTAAAGATGTTCTACAGTGAATACTTGGGAAAATAAATGATCATCTCCTGATTTACCAACTTTTAATTTCTTACTACCATGTTATATAGCTTGAGTGTTTCCATTTGTTGTAGTTTTTTCTTTTTTAAATCAGGTTAAACCTGTATTTGTTGAATGAGTAGAATGTCTTAATTACTGAAGGTTTAAGATGAAGAAAGATAGCGAAGGATGGAATTTAATCATCCTTGCATTCCCTCATCTTAGCCTGGTGGCTTCCTAAAGTACAATTGTATAAATTGCTCAAAAATTATATACTAATTACCCTGATTGGATCATTACACAATGTATCAACATATCATGTCGTACCGCATAAATATGTACAATCAAAAAGTTTTTAAAAATAAAATAAATTTAGAAATGATGCTGTGAAAAAAATGAGTTAGAAGAAACATCTTTAAATATCACTAACTTTGATCTCTCTCTCTCTCTCTCTCTCTCTCTCTCTCTCTCTCTCTCTCTCTCTCTCTCTTCACAGTGACTGTTTTGAGCCCAGCTGAAAAAGGTAAGAGGATATTGTAAATTGTATTGGTCAGGGCTATATCCTTCTTCCTATCTAATTACATAAAACCTATAAATTGAGCAACTTTCCCAGGAATACTCTTAGCTGAGTGCAAAGTTTAGGATTATGGTTTTCAGGAAGCTCAGCCAGAAATAGAGCAGCGCATATTTTCAGTGGCCCCTTTAGTTGTAGGACAGGGATTGAAAATTACCAGGATTTATGGTAAAGAAGGACATAGGTATCCATTCTGTCTGCCATAGTGACCTTAAGCTCTTTCTTGGTTCATCACTATTTTCCTAGGTACCTTGCTTTTCTGCCCAATTCATCCCCTCTTCAAGGCATGGAGTAAGGGCCCCACAGGGGGATTTAAGGGCTAAGTCCTTCCCCATCACAATTCCAGTATATTTACTGTGCTCTTCTCCACTCCTCACCACCATCTTGGCATGATCTGCAGTTTATACTACCTTTCTAAAGAGATTGAGGCATTTTCCATTTAAAAAGTATGAGCTAAACATGAGTATTAACAAACTGTTAGGTTTATAATATTTTATCAGCAATAGCCATAAGTATTTATGTAGCCACTTTATATAGCCACTTTTAATTCTCACTTTATAGGAATTCATTATTATAATTCATTAGCCTATCTGGCATTCATATTATGTTGTTTTACAGCTCCAGTTTCCTATTACTCATTTAACAGAGGTGTCAGCTGTAGAAGCAACAGAGCAGAGTGATTGGGAGACTGTAGATCATGGTAGTTAAACATGTGGGTTCTGTCTGAATTCAAATCCTAGCCCTGCTACTTCTTAATAAGTTATTTCACCTCCTTGTGCTCATTCTATTCATGTGTATAATAGAAATAATAATACCTGTTTCATAGAGTTGTGAAAATATGATGAGTTGATGCATGTAAAGCACTTAGAACAGTGGCGAGCAAATCACATACTGATGACTCAATAAATGTTTGTGCTATTTATTATACTTTAGAGCAAGTTATGGGTTGCCTCTTATTCTTATGCATCGTTCTTAATGTCAGAGATCATCTTCTGTATACAAACATTAAATAATTATAAATAAATATTTTTCACAATAAACTTTCAAGACAAGTTGGTTGGGGGCTTAGATGATGCTCTACCGTAACAGGAATAATAACAATAATCTTATTACCAAGAACTACAATTTTTTGTGCCAGGTACCCTGCTAAGTATTGTATATCCATTATATCCTTTAATATTTACACTAACACAGTGATGTAGATACTCTTATGTCCATTTTATACGGAAAAAACCCTGAAATTTAGAGAGGATAAGTAACTTATCCTGGGTCATCTATCTAGCAAGTGGTAAGATTCAAATTCAGAACTGTCTGAATTCAAAACCCATGCTCTTAAGCAAATTTGCATTTATATTTTACTTTTCCAACTACAACCCCAAAGTTTGCTTATTTGAGCTCCTTATTCAGAAGCATGATGCTCAATTCCTCCTTTTTCCAGTGTCCAAAGTACCATATCTTCATTTGTGTCTGTGTTATCAGTGAACTCAACTATGTCAGTCTGGGGTGTCATTCGCAAGCCCAACTCAGTTCAAAGCCTTCCTGGTAGCATCAATCCAGTTATCAGGATCTGAGTTCTCTAGGAGATTGTCACCACAATGTATAATTTGTACAGTCTCTTCTGTCTCTAGGATTCTATGATTTCAAAGCACTTTTCTCCTGATAGTTCCTAAATTTATCAACACAATAAAGAATTAGATTTGATTTTGCTTCTTCATTCTGCAGTGGGTCATAATGGGACAAAAGACAGGATTTAGGAGATGGAAGATCTTGGTTGGAGTTCCAGCTCTACATTTACTAGCTCTATGACCTTTGGAAAGTAAATCAACTTCTCTGAACCTCAATTTCCATAAAATGAGGCTACTTTAATAACATCATACAGATTTATTATAAGCTAGTGGAAGTACAGAGCAGCAAACTGTTTTGCAAATGTTAAGTATTAACAATCTCAGTTGTTACTTTTTAAAGTCAGGATTCTCAAAGACAGTGGAATCCATAAACTAAAATGGATTCAATTGAAACCAGACAGTCAAAGGTTAGACTTGTGAAAAAAAAACTTTTGAACACTAGATCAGGTTACTAAGCGATGCTGTGAAATCCCCTTTTCAGAAGGTATCAGACACCCAACTATCTGGCATAAATCAGTGAGCCTTGCCTAGAAACAGACCAATAGGCTAATGACTATCTGAGGTCCCTTCTAACCCTGTGAATCAGTGACTTGTTTCAAACTAGACTGCACTATTAAAGTAGAAAACAATACAGTATAGGACTGCCAGTAGGAACACTGTTTGGCTTAGGGAAAGAAAACATAAGGCAAAGAAATGAAAGCTTCAAATCACATAACCTTTCATTCAGTCTCCAAAGCTTAAGAAAACCATAATGAAACATACTGCAGAAGTTTTTCCTTTTTTTTTCCTGTCTACATAATGGTTCCTGTACAGGGTTGAAGAGTGTCCCCCCAAAATTTATGCCCACCTGGAACTAGTGAATGTGAACTTACTTAAAAATAGGGTCTTTTTACATGTAATCAAGTTAAGATGAAGTCATACTGTATTAGGGTGAGCCCGAATACAGTAACTAGTGTCCTTATAAAAAGAGGGAAATTTGGATATACAGATACAAACAGAGAGAAGACGGCCATGTGAAGACAAGAGGCAGATTGGAGTTGTGCTGCCACAAACTAAGGAATACTAAAGATTGCCGGCAACCACCAGAAACTAGGAAGAGGCAAGGAAGTATAATCCCCTGTAGCATTCAGCAAGAGCATGACCCTACCTACACCTTGATTTCAGAGTTCTAGCTTCCATACTTGAGAAATAATACATTTCTGTTTTAAGGCACCCAGTTTGTGGTAATTTGTTATGACAGCCCTAGGAAACAAATACAGTTGCTGATAAAATTCAGTCTCTATTGCACTGTTAAGAGCATTGTAATAGTAGCAAATAAGCAAAGACTGTGGTGCCAGATCTATCAGGGATCAAGTCTTGACTTTGCTACTTACCACATATATAACACTGGGGAACTTAACCTTTCTAAGTTTCACTTTCTCTGTAAAATGAAGATAATACCTAACTTTTGTGGTTATTTTTAGCACTAATGAGATGATGTATGTAAGTCTCTTGGCATAGTACCTAGCACATGATGAATATAAACTAAATAAGAGTGGATACTATTATGATGATTACTGTTATTGATATTAACATTGGAGAGGACCTGAAAAATCTTTCTTCTAAGGAGCATATTTCATTACTATAATTCCTTATGATTCCTCTTGTGAATATTGCCTAAATCCATGCATTTGTATTTTATAGGTAGAACAATTTAAATCCAAAGAAATAAAATATGTCAACCTTGTCATGCTGATTCTAGTGCACAGAAAGGACTAAAGCCCAGGTCATCTGAATCACAGTCCAGAATATTATATATTATGTCAGCCTTGGTTATACAGGAACTCAGAAATTCTTCTTTTACAACATGAGTTCATATATACTTCAATAGATCATACTGAAAAACATGATAATAATGTATTTATTTTGTTTTCATAAGTGTTTTGCATAGATGATCTCATTCAGTATCATACTATCCATATTTTAAAAATCTTGACCAAAACATTTTCCCTCTTCTGCCCCTGAAGATGAGCTGAAGGTAAGGAATTTAGTAGGGTCCAAGGATGTGGTTAGGCTGAGAGATGAAGTTAGGAATGAGATGGACATTAAACACGATCCATAAGACAATTCACTTATAATCAGGAGTAATGCATTGCCCACAGTTGCTCATCTTCAAAAAGGGCTAGTAATCGTTTTTTTAAAGTTTAACTCATTCTCTGACAATTTGTGTTTTGAATAGTTTGCATACTAAATTTTTATTTCTCCCTTAAAGTTAAAATGCTTATTTCTTTTCAGAAATAGATGTAATTTCTAAATAATAGAACTGATATAGGCTAACGTGTGTCCCCTCACTTCAGAATGTGACTATATTTGGAGATAGGGCCTTTAAAGAGGTAATTAAGTTAAAATGAGGTCACTAGAGTGGGTCCTAATCCAGTATAACTGGGGTCCTTATAAGAAGAGGACACTTGGACACAGATATAGGTACAGAAGGAACACCATGTAGAGGCACAGGGAGAAAATGGCCATCTACATGCCATGGAGAGAGGCCTCAGAAGTAACCAACCTTGCAAACACTTTGATCTTGGACTTCTAGCCTCCAGAATTGTGAGAAAATAAATTTCTGTCATTTAAGGCACCCAGTCTGTGGTACTTTCTTATGGCACCCTTAGAAAACTAGTACAAGAACTTAATTGAGTTTCCACTTGAAAATCCAGAGCACAGAAATATCTGCTTTGTGTCAGCTTCTCAATTATACTAATCTTAATTGATTGGTGATATCTAAATACCATGAGGGTCAGAGGGCACTGGAGGAAAAAGGTGAGGCTACAGTATGACTATATAAGAAATTTCAGTTTGGTTTTGAGCAGTTATCTCAGTACTCTCAATAACATATGGTTTTATATTTATAATTGTAAAATTACTTTATAATGAAGGTCTGGGGAACAAATAAAAGTCCCCATTTTAGAGGCTAACCACTTCTAAAAAGCTCTTAAATATTAATTTTTTATTACAAAAAAAATATTTATTGAGAAGGAAGGAGCACACTTGGAGGTCAAGGCAGAAGATGCAAGCAGCTCCCCCGCTCCTGACAGAAAGCAGTAGTACTCCCAGGGACCCAGGCAGGAGTTGCAGGCAGGAGCTACAGTAGTACTCTCAGGGACCCCCTAACCAAAAGAAGGCAGGAGCATGTGGCAAACACTGCTTCTGCACAGGTGGTCTACCGCAGCCACTGCCACTGCCTCTGCAAGGGAAGCTCATCACCACAGTAGCAGCCATGGCCAACATAGAGGCAGCCTGCTGCCCACACAACTGCATTGACACATGGAGAGTAACCAGCAGAGCCTGGAAAAAGAGTAGGGGGTCTATCTCCTAAAAACGCACTCCAGAGCAATAGAATAAGCAACTGCTCTACTATATGACCAGACATCAACATAGAGGTACTAGAAATATAACAAAACAAGAAAATATGACACCACCAAAGGAATATAGTAATTCTCAAGTACCAGAACTCATACAGCAGGAAACACTTTAAGTGACTGAAGAGGAATTCCAAGCAATAATCTCAAGGAAACACAATGAGATACAAGAAGACTTAGTTAGACAACACAATGAAATGAGAAAAAAATATCCATGATATGAAGGAGGAAATTTACAAAGAGATTAATACCTTAAAAAAGAATGTAGTGGAATTCCTGAAACTGAAGGATTCATTCAATGAAATAAATAAAACTGAGAGTTGAAGCAGCAGGTTAGAGTGAGCAGAAGAAAAAATTTCTGATCTTGAAGACAGCCTTTTCAAAATAACCCAGGCAGACAAAAAAAAAAAAAAAAGGAAAAAATAATTTAGAAAATAAATTAAATCTAAGAGAGTTAGCAGACAACCTTGAGCACAGAAACATCCAAATCATGGGTGTTTCAGTAGGGGAGGAGAAAAGAAAAGGCATTTAAAACCTATTCAGCAAAAGAATAATGGAGAATTTCCAAGGTATAGGGAGACATGGACCTTCAGATTCAGGAGGCTCAAAGATCCCCTAACAGATTCAATCCAAGAAGGTCCTCTCCAAGACACAATATAGTCAAACTGGCAAGGCTCAGGATGAAGAGAGAAACCTAAAAGCAGCAAAGAAAAGCATCAAGTCATCAATAATGAGACCCCCGTGAGACTAACAGCAGACTTCTCAGCAGAAACTCTACAGGCAAGAAGAAAATGAGAAGATTTATTCAAAATACTAAAAGAAAAAAAACTGCCAGTCAAGAATACTACACCCAGCAAGGCTATACATCA